CCAACTTTATTCTCTCATATTTGTACAAAACCATATATTATATTAGGTAGTATTTATTGTCCCGACCCGCCTACTATAATCAAAATTTTGAACATTAGCGCTTATTATTTTCGAATTGAAAAATAACGCTTATTTTCTGCAAATACACCATACATGAAAAAAATGAAAATGGCGCGCGCGTAGGCTACACGTGATTTTTGCGGCTCCGTAAATAATTTAAATTTCGCGAATTACTCTGGTTTATTATAATAAAGAACAAAATAGTTGTGAAGATGGTTCTCTCAAGGGCTCAAGTGGCGGAATTTGAGGAAGTTATAGTGCAAGCTTTTAAGAAAGGTAGTTTTATTGAAATTATTTCCAAAAACGTGGTTTCTTTGATTGAAGATCAATTAAAAGGTACGTTCGCTCATTACGAAGAGCAAATAAAAAATTATAAAGAGCAATTAGCTGTATTAAGAGCTGAAAATGAAGCTATGAAGAAGGATTACGAGATTAAATTAGATGCCCATGAACAGTATAGTCGCCGAAATAATGTGCGGATTTTCGGGATTTCTGAGAAAGAAAAAGAGAATGTCGAAGAAATAGTAACAGATATTCTAACAAAAAAATTGGGATATTTAATGCCTGAAAATACGTTAGAATGTTGTCATCGTGTAGGGAAAGAAACTGCCCGGCCTCGAGCGATTATCGTCAAGTTTTTGTCCCGCAAGTACAAAGACGAGGTGGTTCGATGGAGATCCAAACTAAAGGGAACGAAAGTTAATATACAGGAAGATTTAACGCAGATAAGGGCCAATCATGTGAAACACCTAAGCTCTAAATATGGGTTTAAAAACGTATGGACTAGGAATGGAAATATTTTTTATAGAAAGGATAATGAAATCAAAAAGTTCTTACCACAAGATGAGTGATATTTCGCTGAAAAGTATGAAGGCAAAAAATATAAATAAATGTGTAGATTTATTATTTGAATTGTTCTTTTTTGTTATATAGGATTTGTTTTTGTTTTCTTTTTCTTATTAATTGGTTAAGGCCCTAAGAATCCGTTGGTGTAACTTTAAGTTTAATCTTTATTTAATTTAATTTTCTTTGTGTTTTTGTAATATTTTTGTTTTCTGTTTGCTTTTATTATTTTAATTTTTATGTTTCACGAAGGTTTGTCTGTGGCTCACATGAATATAAGATCGCTTTTGGCCGGATTTTTGGATTTTAAAGAATACATATTAAATTCTAATCATGATATTGTTGGCATTACAGAAACATGGTTAAATCCAAACATAAATAATAATACTGTTTATATAGAAGGTTATAATTTTTTTAGGACAGATAGAGATGGACGAGGGGGAGGGACCGCAATTTATGTGAGTAATAGAATTAAAGCAAATATCGTAGCTACTAATAATAATATTGAACAGACTTGGGTGGAATTAAAAATAAATTCGGAAAAAGTAATAGTAGGCGTTACCTACCGTCCACCAAACTTTAATTACAACACATTTTTTGATGCTTTAGATGCGGTGTTTTCTGAATTTTTGGCGACGTGTGACAAAATTTTCCTTTTGGGCGATTTGAATATTGATATGTGTTCTTGCTCTAACCCTGCTACTGAAACACTTACTAATTTCCTTAATGCATATAATTACAAACAGGTTATAAACTCTCCTACTAGAGTCACTTCTACTACTTTTTCTTTAATTGATTTAATTATTATTCCTGAATCTGTGTCACTTATTGGAGACTCTGGTACTGTAGATTTGAATAACATTTCGGACCATTTTCTTGTTCAATGTACATTGTCATTAGTAACTACAAATCACACCTATCCTATGTTTAAAACGATCAGGGATTATTCGAATTTTAACCAGGAGAATTTTGACAGTGACTTGCGTTCGATTGATTGGCATGCTCTAATTCAATTTATAAATATTAATGACAAATTAGAATTTTTTAATAGGCATTTACTGTATGTATTTGATAAACATGTGCCTGAGAAAATTATCAAAGTTTCCCGACCAAGTGCGCCTTGGTTGACTCCAGTCATCAGGTCTATGATGGAAACGAGAAATAAGGCATTAAGTCGTTTCAAACGGACAAAAAAGCCTGAGCACTGGGAATATTACAAGTCATTAAGAAATTATCTAACATTTGCAATACGTAAGGAACAGAAAATATATATGAATAATATTTTTCGAAACAGAAATGCGGGTAAAATATGGAAAACATATACTAAATTAGGCATTGGATGTAAATCTAAAAATTGTGATGTACCTGAGAATTTATGTGATGCAGATAAATTTAATGATTACTTTCTTAATATATCTTTAAACAATGACATTGATCATAATTTATTACAATTTTATAATAGCAACACTTTATGTACATTTAAAGAATTATTTGTCTTTCATACTGTGGCACGCAGTGAGGTGGCTGCAGTTATATCAGGTATTCATTCTGGTGCTGTGGGAAGTGATTTTCTTGGTATAAACACAATTAAGATGTCATGTCCATATTTATTAGATATTATAACGCATATTATTAACACTTGTCTCCTGGAATCGGTTTTCCCTGATTGCTGGAAGGATTCCATTGTGATTCCTTTGCCGAAAACCAGTGCTCCTGGAAGTTATACAGATTTTAGACCTGTAAGTATTTTGCCAGCCCTCTCCAAAGTTCTTGAAAAAATAGTTTGTTGTCAATTAAGGGAACATCTTTGTCTTTATAACATCATACCCGACAACCAATCGGGATTTAGACCGAATCATAGCTGTAATACTGTTCTATTAGATATTGTGGATGATGTGTTGCGTAGCGTCGACGGGGGTGACATGCATGCGATTGTATTGTTGGATTATTCAAAAGCATTTCACACAGCAATAGAGTTTTTTAAACATTACCTTTTAAACAGAGAACAACGAACTAAAATCAAAGATGTCTTCTCACAAAGAGAACTAATCTCTAAAGGAGTTCCTCAGGGAAGTATATGTGGACCTCTGCTGTTCATAATTTATGTAAGTACGTTTTAAAAAAATTTTAAGTTTTGCAAATATGCTTATGCTGATGATACTCAGTTGTCAATTTCATTTCATCACACTGACTCTAACAATGCTGCTATCAAAATTAATTCGGATATACAATCCCTTATTGACGCTTCTGAGGCACATGGTCTAAAAATTAACCCCACTAAATCCAATGTAATTATTTTTGGGAATAAAAATCATATCAAATCTGTTAGTGATATTCTTAAAATTAGTGTAGGTTATCAGAAATTACAGCACGTGGATTCCGTTAAAAATTTGGGTCTGTTTATAGATAATGATTTAAAATTTAATACACACATAAATAAGCTATTACAAAAATCTTATTGTATTTTGAAATCTCTCTATCCGTATCGACACGTGTTAAATGCAGATAGTAAACGATTATTAACTGATGCATTGATTTTATCTCACTTCAACCACTGTGATTCGGTCTATGGTCCCTGCTTAACTAAAGAAAATCAAAGAAGGGTGCAGTATGTCCAGAATAGCTGCCTCAGGCTGATTTATGGCATACAAAAATATCAGAGAGTTTCACATAAATTGGCGGAGTGTGGTTGACTGAATATGCATAATAAGATGGCTCTACATAGAGGAGTAGTTTATTTCAAAATCTTAAAAGACAAAATTCCTGTTTATTTAAGTAATAAAATAACCTACCGTACTGATGTACATAATGTCAATATTCGCAGAAAAGATTCACTTACGGTGCCACGTCACGCGTCGACTGCTTTTCGGAATTCATTTACATACGGCATCACAGTTTTTTGGAACACCCTTCGTCGCCCATTAAAAGTGTTAAACGTTGCAAAGTTTAAAATTAAATACAGACGGTATCTATGTGAGCGACAGACAAGATTGAATTAGTTTTCCTTATTATACTCAGTTATATATATATTTTTTTTGCGCTGTTATGGATTATTTGTTGTTATAGTACATAGGAGCCAGGGGAAGAGCAGGCCTCACTACCAAGGTATTGCCTGACCTGGCTACCTAATTAACCTTCTTAATTTTCTTTATTATGTAAAGTGATTTATATGTAAAAGAATTTTGAGGGTTAATAAATTGAATTATTATTATTATTATTATTATTACATGCGATACATCATTGGAAAGCTAAAAGTATGCTCTTTTCTTTAACATCATAATCAAGTATAGTTTGTATTTAAAAAAACACAACTTTGTGTTGTATCTCAAAAATCATCAAGTATGTTTAAAACTTTTCAACGGCAGTATATTCCACTTAAAAAAGTGTCTTAAGAACGTATCAACCCCATTCCTCTAATTTGAAAAATAAACGAAGTATGAGCATTTTTTGAAATCACGAAAATTTGACTTTTTGGCTATAACTTAAAAACAAAAGAAGATAGAGGTTTGATGTTTACGGGATTGAATTAGTCTCGAAAAAAGAGAAAGGGACATGGCACCTACTTTTTTCGTATCTCTTATAGTTTCTGAGATAGCCTATAATAACACCCAAATTTGCCCACCCTGTACATTTTATTGAACTAAAATTACGTCTGAAGAAGCACGGCTAAATCCGAATGTTCCTAGTTCTAGGTTTAGTGTTAGTTTCAGTTTCAGCACTGATTTTTATTGAACTAAAAGTAAATTAAGTGGTTCCTAATTCAAAGTATGAAATATCATGCGTGACGTCACGAACGGGCCTTTGAGCTGTTCACTTATTCCTGGGATGTAGCAATCCTCTTAGATTCTACCGTTTTTGTATCAAACAACAATTTCTGACTTTATGTTTAAACCTACTGATTTCATCCGTTATCTACCGATTTTTTACCATTGATTCTATTGATATTTGTTCGATACAGGTTGATAATGCTGGTTGAGAGTGAGGAACCAAAAAATGACACCTTAAAATCAAATTGGAGATGCTAAAAATCCCGCCGAAACACCTCGTTTCGTCTATGAATGGTAGTGTAGATTTTTTTATTAAATAATAAGACAAAATTTATAATAAATTTTATTTAAACCATATTATCAAAAATAAATAATACAAACTAATCCATAAACTAATTCATTCCCTATTTAAATTGTAAAAGGCATCTTAATTTCTATATTTATTAAAAAGATTCTGCTTTTATGTACAAAAAAAATATACACTAGAACGTTATCTTTACGTTCTATTTCAAAGGAACTCAGTCTTTAAATACTTATTAGCAATATCCTACCTTAACAGTTTAAATTCGGATCTAATTATGGGTTGAACTGGTATACTTAAAAATGGACTACTTTCTAAACCTTGATTTTCAGATTCAACGTCAGATCTGTTTTGATTAAAGTCACGAATCACGCACACACCAACAGTCGCTATCATCAGAGCACCAATCATTCCTAAAATATAAGAAGTAACCATTTCTATTGTGGGTATTTGCGCGGCTATGTTTATTAAAATTCCTAAATAAGAGGGCATGTCGTATATTCCTAATTCAACCCAAAATAACGGTAAGATCATCCCTTGGAACGGTTTAGAACTAGTTACAATTTGATCGGGGGATACATTCAAATTAATCTGCATTCTTAATCGGGCGTAAATCGGGATGCCGAGTTCCGGGCTCAATTTCATCACGGTGTCGTGTTTTTCTTGGTCGGGATTCATGCCGATGACTTGTTTTCGAATTTCCGGATCGGCGTTTAAATAATGCGGTTGCGACATAGCGATGGGAATCCCATAATAGCAAGGATCCAAACTGCCGAATCCTTTTGGTAAACACTTTTTGGAGTTTTTACAAAAACATTTATTCTCGGGGTTTTCTTCGGACGTCGATAAAAAGTTTTGATCGATTCTATAATTGTAGTATTTCATTCCTGAACTTGTGTAATCAGTGTTTTCATAGATCATACTTGTTGATCTACAAAAAGCTTTTCGGTATAATCGTACCGTTGTGTTTTCTTTTAGGTGTCTCGGAAATACTCCGGATTCGAATGCTCCTTCTATCGTGTTGCATGGTGAATTTTCTTCGGGGGTATCTTCTCGGTATCCCCATTGTTTTAAACCGGGGGAACCATTGAATATATCGACGGAATATTGGTAGAGTATATCGTCTTTTGATGTTGTATTAGTTGATAAATGCATGGTGATTGTATTTCCGTTATCGATGGACATTAACTAATTGAGGGAAATAAATATAATTAGACGATTTTTATTAAAGTGATAAATAAATAAATAAAACTTGCTCTATCTAAAATTCCGAATTTGGTGAAATCAATCCATGATGGCACATAAGTACTGGCTAACTCAACTAAAGGATCTTCGTACCCAAAAAGATACTCGGTAACGCTTAAATTTGTTAATGAAGGGCTTTTTACCATGTTTACAACGGAAGAAAATCCAAGATTCATGAATAAGCCGTATTCGTTTTTCATGTACGATGATATACCCTAAATTAAGAAGTAAATAAAATTAATTAAATTAAGTTTAAATAAGATATATTTTTTATCTACCAATAAAGGAATATTTGGACCGATTATCCGGGCTTTATCCGGATCTTCTACCGAAAGTTCTGGTCTAAATTTTAATTCTCTAATTGGTTTATATGTTAAGGTCCCATTTTCGTTAAAAATAGCCTCACTATTATGGACAATTTCCCTATAATTAATAATTTATAAAGTACAATTTTTTTAAAAATTCATTTACTTACTGATACACATAAGGTCCGGTTTGTGTTAAGTTCAATTTTTCTTTCCCTGCCAAAAACTGTTCGCTATTAGTAACATTAAAGATGTAAATTTTAGCTAAAACTTCGTAAGGAGGTTGAGTCCATAATTTGAAAATTAAGGATCCCGGTTGGAATGTAAGAAGCTAAAAAGAAATTAGAATTATGAGTAATTATTATAATTAATTTTTTAAATCAAAATTACTTTGTCTAATATTAATTGTAGAGGGTTTAATATGTAAATTAGGTATCCTAAAATCGATATGCATCCTCCAATCGATGTGAGCATCGCGTATCCTATAACAAATTGAAAAAAGATTTATTTAGTGACAAAAAGTTGTGAACATCATAATTAATCTTAATCGAATCTTGATTAATGAGCCTCGGCCGCGAGCGACCTCGGAGCGCTACATTATGAGTCTCATATGAGTCTCACATCCAACATTCATAAAAAACAAATAAGTTGTAAACAGTACAAGTTCCTGAACCTTTCCTATGTTTATTAAGTCTTCAGCAAGTCTTTGAAGTGTTTACTAAAACTTCCATCAAAACTTACAGGAATTAGTATCTCTATTAGCTGTTGGATACTGCAGATAATAATCAAGTTCTACCCCAATAGGACTTTTTTCATTGAATACAACTTAATTTATATCGTAACCTCATTGTAACAATCCCAATACGATATATAAAATCTCTTCTTGCAGTTTCGTCTATTACTAACAGAACTGTCGCTGTAATCAGTTTCGATTATTAATTAAAGATTTCCGCCGATTAAGTTTTAAAAATTCGTATAAAATTGATTTCTTGAAATATGAGTATGAAAATTTCCCAATGTGTTAATAAAAGTGTCTTCTTTCTAATGAACCAACCCGTTTTGAAAAATAGTTTTTAGTTTTTGAGAAAACAATATTTGAAGTGTTCATAAAATTTTCAATGCTGCAATTTTCATCGATAACTTTCAAAATTCGCTATAAAATTCATTTCTTGAAGGATCCTTGTGGAAATATCACTAATTATTAATTAAAGTATCCTCTTTTTAATGCAACAAGCCGTTTTGAAAAATTGCGTTTAGTTTTTGAGAAAAGAATTTTTGAAATGATCGACAATTTTCCGAATTTTGCAATTTCCGCAGATTAAGATTTAAAAATTCGTATAAAATCCATTTCTTGGAATATGAGTATGAAAATTTACCAAAGTGTTAATAAAAGTGTCCTCTTTCCAATGAGCCAACCTGTTTTGAAAAATAACTTTTAGTCTTTCAGAAAACAATATTTGACGTTTTGATGAAACTTTCGATGTTGCAATTTTCATCGATAATTTTCAAAATTCTATATAAAATTCATTTCTTGAAGGATCCTTGTGGAAATATCACCAATTATTAATTAAAGTATCCTCTTTTTAATGCAAAAAGCCGTTTTGAAAAATCACTTTTAGTTGTTGAGAAATAAATTATTGAAATAATCGACAATTTTTCAAATTTTGCAATTTCCGTCGATTAAGTTTTAAAAATTCGTATAAAATCCATTTCTTGGAATATGAGAATGAAAATTTCTCAAAGTGTTAATAAGAGTATCCTCTTTCCAACGAACCAACACGTTTTGAAAAATAACTTTTAGTTTTTGAGAAAACAATATTTGAAGTTTTGATAAAATTTTCGATGTTGCAATTTTCATCGATAATTTTCAAAATTCGCTATAAAATTAATTTCTTGAAGGATCCTTGTGGAAATATCACCACTTATTAATTAAAGTATTCTCCTTTTAATGCAAAAAGCTGTTTTGAAAAATCTCGTTTAGTTTTTGAGAAAAAAATTTTTGAAATGATCTACAATTTTTTCGAATTTTGCAATTTTTAACTGTTGATATCCATGTTACAAGCTTCGTTTAAATATTAAAATAATAAACAAATAAATATAACTTCTTATCTTGCAAAATTCAATTTATTTGAACGGAACCGGTTTCGATTTTCTTGACCGTAAGTTCTATAAGAATTTTAATTTTTAATTATTAAATTGTAATTAAAATATAATTGTAGATTCGGCTGAAGATGACTAAGAAAAACTAGTCGAAACCAGTTCCGTTAAAATAAATTGAATTTTGCAAGATAAGAAGTTATATTTATTTGTTTATTATTATAATATTTGCATTTTTTGCCTATTAAGTTTTAAAAATTCATATAAAATCCATTTCTTGGAATATGAGTATGAAAATTTCCCAATATGTTAATAAAAGTGTCCTCTTCCCAATGAACTAACCCGTTTTGAAAAATATCTTTTAGTTTTTGCGAAAACAATATTTGAAGTTTTAATAAAATTTTCGATATTATTTATCGATAACTTTTAAAATTCGCTATAATATTCATTTCTTGAAGGATCCTTGTGGAAATATCACCACTTATTAATTAAAGTATCCTCTTTTTAATGCAAAAAGGCGTTTTGAAAAATCACTTTTAGTTGTTGAGAAATAAATTATTGAAATAATCGACAATTTTTCGAATTTTGCAATTTCCGCCGATTAAGTTTTAAAAATTCGTATAAAATCCATTTCTTGGAATATGAGAATGAAAATTTCTCAAAGTGTTAATAAGAGTGTCCTCTTTCCAACGAACCAACACGTTTTGAAAAATAACTTTTAGTTTTTGAGAAAACAATATTTGAAGTTTTGATAAAAATTTCGATGTTGCAATTTTCATCAATAATTTTCAAAATCGGCTATAAAATTAATTTCTTGAAGGATCATTCTGGAAATATTACCAATTATTAACTAAAGTATCCTATTTTTAATGCAAAAAGCCGTTTTGAAAAATCACTTTCAATTCTTGAGAAATAAATTTTTGAAATGATCGACAATTTTTTCGAATTTTGCAATTTTTGCCTATTAAGTTTTAAAAATTCGTATAAAATCCATTTCTTGGAATATCAGTATGAAAATTTCCCAATCTGTTAATAAAAGTGTCGTCTTTCCAATGAATTAACCCGTTTTGAAAAATAACTTTTAGTTTTTGAGAAAACAATATTTGAAGTTTTGATAAAATTTTCGATATTGCAATTTTCATCGATAACTTTCAAAATTCGCTATAAAATTAATTTCTTGAAGGATCCTTGTGGAAATATCACCAATTATTAATTAAAGTATCCTCTTTTTAATGCAAAAAGCCGTTTTGAAAAATCACTTTTAGTTCTTGAGAAATAAATTTTTGAAATAATCGACAATTTTTTCGAATTTTGCAATTTTCGCCGATTAAGTTTTAAAAATTCGTATAAAATCCATTTCTTGGAATATGAGTATGAAAATTTCCCAAAGTGTTAATAAAAGTGTCCTCTTTCCAATGAACCAACCCGTTTTGAAAAATAACTTTTAGTTTTTGAGAAAACAATATTTGAAGTTTTGATAAAATTTTCGATGTTGCAATTTTCATCGATAATTTTCAAAATTCGCTATAAAATTAATTTCTTGAAGGATCCTTGTGGAAATATCGCCAATTATTAATTAAAGTATCTTCTTTTTAGAGTTGCTTCGTGAGTTAAATCAGCATCAACAAAGTTCATTTTGTATCTTGCATCCAAATAAGTTGACATATGTATCTTATCAGCTTTCTTTTCTTTCAAGTCTTTAAAGTCTGCTTTAAATATCCTCACTTAAAAGATGTATAAAGCCTTCATTAAGTTTACTTTAAATTTCTACATCAAGTCCTCACCTAGATCATAATGAGTTTCTGTCTGTTTAGTTCTTTATTTGTACATAGCTTTATTGACGTTATCAGTGCCCAGCTAGAAATTGCCAAAATGTTAATACGATTATAGAGTACAAAATAATCATAAACTTTATCGAACAAAGCAAGGGAGATTTAACTAGCATCAATGCTCTTCCTATAATAGAAAAGTCTTAATAAAATTACAAAAACTTAAGTTTCAAATAACGCAGTGTTGCTAACTTTTAGGCTGACATCTGTCAAATTTTTGTAAGACTGGTAAGCTTGACATGAAAGTTTGTTATGTCATATTTTGAAATTAATTTGTCACACTTCGTTATTCAAAAAAAAAGTAAAATTTGTTTATACACAAATAATTACAATAAAATGTAATAAAAGTTTCTTAACCACATCTCTTTCATTATTGAAAATAAATAACACAAATTTTATAAAGAACTTAGGTAATACCAACGGAAATCCTAAAAATTTGACATTGACACAGGTATTACGGAAAAAGAAACTCTAAATAAGTTTTATAAATAAAAATAACAAAAAGTTAAGGTCAAACTTACATAAAATGATCAAAAATAATATTTATTTGATATATAAAATAATAAAAAGTCAAATTCATGATGAAGCCATTAAATGACCAGATGTTCTTTTTAGATGGACGTTAACGCAAAGAAATCATCCTTCACCGAAAGAATTTTGGTCAAGGTGGTATCTCGAATTACGTTTCTTCTCCCTTCAAGGAAATTAGTGTACAACATTACTTACACTCCACTTAATTGTAAAATATTCATCGAAAATTAACATTTATCTGTAACTTTTATCTTCCTCCAATTAAGATAATGATGTCTTTCGAATTTAGTAGGTCAAACGATCCAAGGGCAAGGATTTCAGACCCCTTATTTAAGTATTTATTACGACGGTTTCCTTATTTTCTTTTTGACTTAATACAACAAGTATTTTAATTAAGATGGAATCACCAAATATGGAAGTTGCGTTAACCTGATTAGTTTTGTTTATAAACAAGGTTTTTTGGTGATTTATAAAGTAGATTAAACTTTTGAAAACGTTTGAAGGTAATGAAACGAAAATAAGAAAGTACATTTTTAGAAGGTTCGAAAATTAATTAGGTTAAAATATAAATAAATTGAGTTAGCAAATAACATTTAATAATGTTAATTACACAATAGACATAAATTTTATCACTTTACATAGATTCCGTACTTCCAGTTAATTCATAAAGGTTAAATAAACTGTTATTGACCAATTTCAATGGGTGAATACTAATTTATTGATTACATCCGCATAAGTTTTGTATTCAAATAGGAATGCATAGAGAATTTGAAATTCATTAGCATCACAAGGGCTACAACTAGTTAAAGTCTAAACAACAAAATCGTTTAGGTAAATTTTTTATTTGGTTTATTACATCTAAATCCTTTCATTCTATAATAAATTATGATTAAATAATAGCCATACTATTTTTTATGCGGCTATTACCGACGTTGATAACCTTATACCAACCTTTTATAATCGATTTGTCACCCAAAAATAATTGCACACTCGTTTTAGAGTGATTAATGAGAAATAATTTATAA